TACTTCAAGTAAGAATGATGATCATAAAAATTCATTGCCTACTTAATGCAGAAGCTTAGGGATTTCCTTGCGCCTGGCCAAATCACAGTGTTTGTAGCTGAAGACTTTTTTCATTTGACATTAAAAAAAAATCATCCCTTGAAATTCTAAGTAATGAAGTTTTTGTCTGCCCCAGAATCACCTTTACTGACTTAAACTGAAAAATTCATCCCCTTTAATTTTTTTTTGAATTGATTTCACATGTCTTGTCTTCCATTAGCTTCATGACGAGAGATAGCAGCAGCATTGAAATAATTGTGCAGCTTTATCAAGAGGCCTGTACAATATAATTCTTTACATAAGGGATGGAAAGAAACCACATCTTGTCTGTGGTCTTGGGCTCTTAGAAGCATTGCCTGGTGATGTGGGCTGGCATCTGAGACTTACATGCATGAACACATGTGAACGCATTCCTCCTCTGGACCCTCTTCGTGGAGTGCCCACCAGCTGGGTCAGGAGGAGGTGAGCTGAGTCCTGGCCACCTCCTTTCCTGTGGGTTCTGTCCCACTGGAGATGGGCTGGGAAGATTTCGTGGAATGCAGCAATTCACTTTTGCTGATGCCACTGAGCGAGCTGGTTGCTGAAACAGGTGAATGTGGCGCATGAAAAAGTGGATATGAGAAATCAATACTGTAGTAAAGCACATGAGCTGGCCTGAAAGTTTTGTGTGTGAGTCCAACAAATGCATTTTTTTGTTCACTGCCTTGGGAAGTGAGGAGAACGGGATTATGGCAGTTCTGCTGCCTGTAGCACAATGTCCTAAGAGGACATTCCCCTCCTGTTCCCATTTCTTTGTCTTTTTGGGGAGCCTGTGCCACTCTAAGCTGCAAAAGGAGATGGGATTATAACTTGCAACTAGAGCAGTAGGCTATTTTTCCCCTGCAGATAGCATGGGGCACTAATGAATTGCTTTCTTCTGTGACCCACCTCTTACTTCCTTATGGGTGAAATGTCAGCAAATCCAGCTGAACCCTTTAATCTTTTCTTAAGGTAAAAAAGCCCACTAAACAAACCCCTGGATTTGTTCTTGAACTGAATCTGGAGATAACAGCAAGTTAGCCTCATTCCTCTGATAAATGTAGCTAAACTTGCAATTCTCAAGGTACTTTTCTAGGTCAACAGAAACTGTCAGTCTACGTTTTGCAGCACCGAAAAATCATGTGCTGTCCACTCCCACTGTCTGCCAGTCAAAAAGCAGTTTGTGAGGCTACAGGGTCTTTAGTTCACAATTTTCTGTTTCTTTTTATTTTTTTTGCTTGTGTTCTATCTTTATGGTCACACATGTAACAATTGTAGTTGTAAGACACCACTACAGATCTCAATGGTATCTTCGTTTCTTTTTGGGCATGAGTTAGCATTAGCTTTATCATTGTCCCAGTAAAGCTCAATTGTGTTGACTCCCTGAATTTGGTGAGTGTCTGGGCTCTGTCTGAGCATCAGCTTTACCAGGAACAAATGCGCTTGCAGGAGCAGCTCTCAGCTAACAAGCACGTTGGCATGCTTGGGTATTTTGTCTATGGCAGATTAGCACGATCTACCTCTTGACAGCACAGCCCATGTGGAGCATTGCAGCCCCTCTGATACCCACTCCCTTGCGGCCCCGCACTTGCACCCTCAGCAGTCTTTAAATGGCTTTGCTATAATTAGCCGGCATGCTGTACGGCTTCATGTAATTCCTGTGTATAGTACTAATAAGCCAAAAGTGTGAATAGCATCCCCTGTTCAATAGCGCTACTCTGAACGTGTCAAATATATAGCTACCAAAATCCATGGTAGGGGAGCGAGGGAGTGCCTGTTTGCTTTCAGAAGGAGATGTTCCTCCTTGTGTTAGCTTTACAATGGCCCACCTGAAAGCAAATGAGCATTTGAGAGTTATCTTTTACTGAGACCCCATCTGTCATACTTACTGTTTAAATCCCTTAATGAGTGTTTCGTACCCAGGTTAAAGACATGAAGGCTGCTGTTCTACTTGAGTGGAAGACTTGTTTGGGATTCCCATGTTGGGAAGTGCTTGCCCAGCACAGGGGAGCTGTGTTTCCTCCACACCAGAGGGAGCTGGTCTGTACAGCCTCAAAATGTTGGGGAGGAGGTGGTTGGGTATCCTGGGACTTCCTAGTACTGGTATTTCAGATACCTGTGCCTGTCACCAGGCAGGGGGGTGCTGTGGACAGAAGAGAAATTGCCAGTGAGATCCATATTAGATAATAGAAACTCATAGAAATGAGGTTTTTTTGGGCACCTACTTTGGAGAAACTTTCTAAGTGTGCTTGCTCTCTTGGGTCCCTGGCCTGAAACACCATTAGCAGAAGTCCTTAAGGATCTTGGTCTGCCTGATGTGCTTGGGAGTTGTGTGAAGGGATGATGGTAAAAGGACTGTTTGTAAGTGATCCCTCCACCTTGGAACAAGCTTTGCTCTGTGGGAAGGTGGAGCTGGTCTCTTTGAGCAGAGGGACAGCATAAACCCAGCCTTTCTGCTTGCTGTTACTCTGCAGTTTCTTGGAGCAATTCTACTCCTGGTAACAAATAGTCAGGTTTTTCCATATGGTGGTTTGGGGGTCATTGTATTTTGGAGTACGTTGCAGATATGATCTGATCACATCACTGTGTGATAAGCTGTGTTTCAGGTAGGATGCACAAGTAACTTGGAGAAGAGAAATGCACATTACAGAGCGAAATGCCGTGTTTTCTGTACGAGTTAATGTGGTTTCCGATCCTGCCCTGCTGACTTTCTTTTTAATTTGGGGTGTGCAGCAGGAGCTGCATCCCTCTATGGCAGAAGAGGCAGTGTTGACTGCATGCAGAGTCCAGGACACAGGAAAATTATTTCCTAGCCAGACTGTTAACTGATCCTGCGGCAAGCAAGCTGCCTTTGATCCTTCTGACTGGAATCATCTTTGTTTTGGGAGAACTTTCCAAGGCTTCTGTCAGATTTGCTCATGGTAATGCAAGGCAGGTTTTCATCTTCGCAGCGACAGCTTTGCAGGAAGGAGCACTGGCTGCGCTGGGCCCGGCAGCTCTGATCCCGGTGCTGCTGAGAAGATCCTGGGGATTTGTGTCTGGTGTACAATTTTCTGTAATTTACATCTGACCAGGAATAAACCCTCATTAGTATCTTTATGAAGTACATATGGCTGTTCATATAGCGGACACCAGAAAACTGCGCTTGTTCTCTGCATGGCAGACTTGAATCGTTCATGCCCAAGCCCACAGGTTCTGCGCTGCCTTGGATGGTGACCCCTCCACCCTGCTTGACCCTTCTCCCCCATGCCTGGCCGGCGTTCCCGGGTTGTACGCCTGTGCCCGCTGCCAGGCCTGCTTTCCCACATTTACTGTGGCCGAGATGGCAGGTCAGTTTTCTTTTCAAGTCTCCCCTTTCCTGTTAGGTCAATAAGAGATGCTTTACAATTTGTCCATCATTTTGGGTTTGGGCAACATGGTAATTATGCCCAAAGTGCATCATACCTGCAGTTGCTGCCTTCTTTCCCTTGCCAGAAGGTTGGCTATGGGAGAGGGAGGATTTTAGAAGAAAAGCTGATAAATCATAAATTCCCTTGCAAGATGAATCACAAGTTACTACTTCTCGCCCAAACACATAATTGTCTGCTCTTAAATCTGTGCCAGTCAGTGGTATGCAGGAGGAAAGTCCCTTTCTGTTAACATGCTCTTCTCTTGCATCTGTCTTTGTGCATGAGTTGAATTGCAACTTACCTGCATTTTTTTCCTGCTTGACCCCTGGAGGCTTTACTTACTCCATGCTCACCATGGTGAAAATGTGCTCTGGTACAGGGGTGAATGGGAGGAGAGAGCAGTTCTCTTGAACGTGGCAGAAATTTGAATTTCTTGGTCCTGCCACTCATATGGCAGTCACCTTTCCAGCGTTTTGCTACAATCTCTGCTGTGGAAATAGATTTTGGGGGAAAACTGAACCTTCCTCCTTGAATGCCAGAATAGGAGCTAGAACTTGCATGGTTTCCCAGGCTTGTTTCTTCCTCTGGGCTCTGTCCTTGCCCCTTGTCTTGGCAATGCATGGCAAACCTGGTTAACTGCAAACGGTTTCTGTGGCTGGGTCTTCAGCCCGCATCTGTGTTTTTGCTGACTGGATCAAAACAAAGATAGGCTGAGACTAGCACCTTGGAGTCTGCCCAGCACTTTGGGAAGTTAGAACTTAATTGCATTTTTGATCACACTTAATACAGGGTATTTCTTATGCACCTGTGCTAATTGCATGCAAGTGATCTAGGAGCTGTACTGAATCTCACTGAGCAGTGAGAGGCATCTCACATAATGTTTTTTTTCAGCTGCCAAAGTGAAGACTTAAGGAAGACTGGCGCAACCTTTTCTGATGGGCTTTTCTGGCAACTTTTAATAGTAATATGTCAAAAGTGCAAGAATAACCACTAGTGCTTCACTGCAGCATCTTTCCTTCCACCTTTAGATAGCCTGGCTCACAATCCTGAGCTTTTGTCAAAGTAGAGGCTATCTGCGGTTTTTCAGTGTAGATGGTAGCTGTAATACTTATGTGTGTGTGTATAATTTGTATATACATATATGTAAGTAGAAACATATATTTCCCCTTCACAGATGCAGTGTTGATCATGTCTGATACTGACTTGGCTTGACAATTGCGTGCCAAAAGGATGCTAAACAGGTAAACCCTAAAGAGAGGGGTAGCTCTGTGGTCTGGCAGCTGTTCGCCTGGGACAGGCTGAGCCAGAGGAGCCCCCTGAAGCACTGAGAGCAGTAAGAATTAAGGCAGCAGGGAATGGCAAGATATGTAAGTATGTGTTGACTGCTTTATTTTAAAAACTTCTGTTTCTGCTTTTATCCTCTTAGCATGTTTTGGCTTAAGAGATGTGTTCTGGTTACTGGAGGGCGCAGAATTGTGAGGGGAAGGAATCGGTGGCTGATTCTGATCATCGCGGCCAGTAAACAGGGTCTGAGCGTGGCTGGAGAGACCCAGGATGAAGCATTTCCACCTTGGGAAGTACAAGTGCGCAGTGGTGGGTTTGCATGCGTTTTGTTGTTCCTCAGCGTGTCTCTGCCCCTTCTCTCTGACTCCGAAGCTGCCTGCTCCTGGGAGAGAAATTGGTTGAAGTTTGGTGGTTGTGCATCCCTCTGCTGCCTTCAGGGTTTTGTTTATTCCAAATGCCACTCGTGCCTGTACTGTCCCTGGTTAGTATATCTCTTCTGCCAGGAACTCTGTCTTTTGCTTTAGCATGATTTGCACAACTTAAGCCCTTTCCCCGGCTATCCTTTCTCTTCATTTCTCATTTGTGCAGGCTGTCTGCTCGAGCGGCTGCTGTCAGCACACAGTGGAAAAACACCCATCTGTTAGAAACCCACCATAGCATATAAGGAGGAATTCCAGATCCGTTTCTAGGCTGCCTCTTTGTCAGAAGAGCTCAGCCATGTCTTTGTTCACTCGCTAGCGAGTCAGAGATGCTGCAGGTTTGTTCGAAGCTTTTCTCATCTTATTTGCTCAGTAACCAAGACAGTTGCCCATTGTTTCACTTGCGTTTTTGTCGTGCATTCTTAAGTGCCGCAAGGCACAATATCTTCATGCCGACAAGTATAAGTTAATGTGTATCTCTTAGCCAACAGCCTAAGGACTAGAAATTTCTGATTGGGGCTGCAAAAAGGGGAAGAGAAAGGAGCTGAATCTCCCACAGCAATGGAAAAAACAAAACTCAACGAGTTTGTTTGAGCTGTGTGGTTCAGAAGGGGGAACTCATATCTGGTGCATAACTCTGCTGCAGACAAAGGCTTGTTGATTTTTGTAAGTTGTTGTCGTGATCATTTAAATCTGGAAGGAATACAGCGTGCAGACAGTCTGGCAGTGACTGGGGATGAATGGCATGTGACCTAAGAGGTGGTGTTCGTCTCCTATTTGAGTAACAAAGGACCAGCCTGTGTCTGTGTACAGCAGCAGGATAAATATCCTAATTTCAGCAGTGGTCCGTGTCAGTGCAGCTGTGTGAGACTGGAGACAAAACTTTGTCTGTCTTTTGTTGTTGCATTGTGAGACCCGGAGCAATGACATGAGAGTGAAAATGAGCAGTCCTGCCTGGGCACCCCTGTGGCTGGAAAAGCAGCTGCAGGAATGAGGACACTGATTCCTGCACATGCAGAAGAGCAAACGTCTTTGATCACTAAAAACTGGGGAGGCAGGAGGAAAAAAATGCCATGTTTTCTTGGATCAGCCCCCTGTGGAGGCAAAGAAAAGCCTGCCATACGTTAATGGGCCACTTTTTATGAAAGTGGGAGTCTTGCACACGCAGGATGGCTCAGCCTGTCTGCGCTGGTGCAGCTGTCGGCCGGTTTGTCTAGAAAATGCTTTTCTGAAAGGTGTAATTATTCTAGACTGTTGAGCAAGTTCTTCTGTGTGAGTGCATTTAAACAATGCCAGCAGTACGTGTGGAAGGACTCAAAATGGAGAGGGAAGGGGGGCAACGTTTTTGATAGCCCTGGGAGAGCAGGAGAGGCGGTCGTGCTGCCTGCGCAGCCGGGACACCAATAGCGTTTTCTGAAATGCTCAGGTCTCTCATCAGCCTTTATGTGGGGGAAGCAGAGGCATGTGGCGCGTCCTGTGTGCGTGTGCTGTCTTTGGGGAGACTGCTTTTGAGGCAGCGAAGGTGAGAGCAGCGTGGGCTGCAGGGGTGAATGCAGCCCACGCTGCTTGTGCCCCATGTTGGCTGCGTGTAAGTACCCATAAGACATCCTGGAAGGATGCTTCTTGAAAGCCTGGCCTTGACCCTGGGAAAAGCATCCTTCCTCGCCTGCCTCAGGAGGGGAGGGCTGTGCAGAGCCGCCCAGGGCAGCGCTGAGGTCTGGCTCTGCCCCTCATCAGGTGGGGAGCCCGCTCCTGCGGATGAAGGCAGGGGGAAATTGGCAGCAGGCTCTGGGGAACCTCTTTGTTTGCTCATGTTATTAGCAAGGAGAGAGGAAGTAATGATTTATTGATGCTTCTGTGATTCTCCTACGCTGAGCTATAAAGGAAGAAATTCTGTTTCCTGGCTGGTATTCGTGGCTCTAATTGAGCTGTAACTTGTTCCTGCAGGGCAGCTCGCCTGCGGGGTGCCGACAGTGCCCCCAGTTCTTTGATACGGCACACCATCAGCCAGTCTAGCCCGTGATCGTCAGGGGTCACTGCTCTGCTCTTCCCCTGCCTCGTGGTGTAGCCAGGCTGGTCGTGACAGGCTGTTTATAGAGCCCAGGGTTTCTCTGCTACAGCATTTTATTTGATTAAGTGAGAAACAGCTGATAGAGGGGGTGGCGGCCACTCCTTTCTGGGGTGAAGTGCCATGTGAATGTGGATCAATACCTCGCCAAAATAATCCTCCATTTTCATGGCACGTTGGGCAGAAGGTGGTGTCCTGTTGGTGCCTCTTGGCCGCAGCCTGGTGCTGTGCCACCCCACACCGACTGAGGAGACCCCTGCCCTCAACCCCTAAGGGCAGGCACGCATGCCTGGCACCTTCCACCACCGTCATTGCCCTATCCCTGCTGCCTTCTCTGTATTTCGGGAGCCGCTGGCACGGCTGTGCCACTGGTGAGCTGGTAACTGGTGAAAGATATAGTTAACAGCCAGTGTGCTGCAGCGGCTGCTCGGGGCTCTGCCAGCCCCCACCCATGCAGTCACCAGCACAGCTTCAGTAAATCCAGCTGAATTCCTGGGCTTTACTTAGTACGTCTCTTCTGACAGCACACTGTACAGCGATGCCCTTTTCGTGCTCTCCCCCGCTTCCGTGCAAGCCTTAGCTTAGCCCGCGATGAGCAGGGTTTCATCTTTGTATCCTGGAGCGTGAGAGGGTCAGGGACTGGATCTTAGCGCAGGGCCCTGCGGGGGCAAGAGCAGACTTCTGAGCACAGATCTCTGCTGCCTGAGCTCAAAGGCTCTGCTCCCTTACCTCGCTGCCAGTTTGTGACCTCTCTTTTGCAGGCTGTAGAGTCATGCCTTGCCAGGATTGCCTGCAAGCGTGTGAGACGGTGGGGGCTTGTGCTGCCTGGCCGTACTGCTCAGGATTTCTGCCTGCACACGTCCCAGCTGCGAGCGTCCTCAGGAGCCGGTGCTGGATGCAGGCAGGAATCCTCTGCCAGCGCTGTGGAGTGGCTGGTCTCCCTAAACTGCGTGGGAGAATGGCAAGGCATGTGCGTTACCCTGAATTGCTGTGAGCAGGTAACCCCTTGAGTCTTAGGGAGAAGGAGATTGTACGTGAGACATTGGCAAACCTGACTTTTGTCACCACACAACCCATGCTCCTTTTAACTGCAATGTGCTTTTTGGTCCATTCTCTTCAAACAAAGCAATGCCATTTTGGTTAACCCAAGGAGCGTGTGGATTCTTTCTAATCACATGATTTAACCAGGATACAGACTTCTGCTTTTTAAGTTTATGTATATAGTGCAGGGGATCCCCAACGCTGGGTGTCCTACAAACCCCAAATGCCAGGCAGTCCCTGTACTGAAGACCCTGCCCCCTGACCAGCTCAGCTGAGCTGGGGAGAAGGAGATGATTTACGAGCAGCATCAGCAACGTCATAAAGTGCAAGTGTCAAGTTAATGCTACTTTCTTATTCCAGCCCATTTGACAGGGTCATGTTAATAGAGGATTGGGGAGCAGAAACAAAAGAAGGAGCACAGCAGCTGGAAGCCGGTTGTCACAGCGCTGCTGCATTACTGTGAAAAAGCTGTGTTTTATCAGAAGAGAAGTGCCCTCTCCATAACGAATGCCATCGCACAGCGGGTAGCAGCTCCAGCCTGTGGATTCCTGTGGGCTGTGGACGATGTGGGCAGGCTCTCTGGAAGAGGGCAGAGACGCTGAGCTGTTCAGTAGGATTCAGCGCTCTGCGCTGCGATCTTCCCTGGGAGATCGGACAGAATGGTGGAAACCCACGCGGGTGAAAGCCTGGCGGGCTGGGGAGGGTGAGAGACGGCAGCGCGAAGGGGTGCATCTTGTGGAGGGGATGGCTTTGGTGGGGTGTGTGAATGTGGAGGGTCTACAAGTGGGGGACGAGGAGCGTGCCAGGGTGGGTATTTGGAGGCTGTAGCAGGAGCTGTGTTGATTTGGGGGTAGGAGCAGTACGAGGGCGGGCAGGCTGTGCAGGGGTCTCCGGCGCTCAGAGCAGCACTGGTGTTCCCTGGGGACAGCAGCGCTGGAGACGTCTGCACTGCTCCCCTTTCCCAGAGAAAGCATGCAGCTTGCTCTAACTTTCTCTTCTCAGAAAATGAGATGCATTCTCTGAAGTAACTTGCCTTTCCTTCCAACGTTCCTTTAAATATGTTGAAATGAGCTTTGCTCCATTTTCTTACTTAGATCTGTGGTTAGAGGTGGTGAAATGCTTCCTAGGCCAATGGGTCTGCTTGGAGGCTTCATCCCAAAGTTGGCTTCTGAGTGTTGTCCTTGATCTGATACTTCAACAAATTTGGTAGATAGATTTTTAACATTCCTGGTTTTATTTTTAAAGTTCTCCTCAGTTGCTTTCTTCCTTACCTCTCTTTCTTGGGAAAACAACAAAAAAAACCTCCTAAATTTTTCTTTTTCAAAGCTGAGTATTGCAGAGGGGGCCTCTCATCTCCACCTTGTTTAGAGGTTGTTTTTTGTTTTGTTTTTTTTTTTTTCCACAGTCTGCAGTTGCTGTTAATTCACATTTGGTTTAGTAATTAATCAGGATATAAATAATACATAGCCTGTTATCAGAAAACTGCATGCCAGTGCTATGGAGGCAGGCACTTTCAGCCCCGGCGGGGAGGGCTTGCCTTCTGCTGCTCTGCAGCCCCCTAAGGCCAATTAAGGTGCATCCTTGATGAGATTCCAGCCGCTCCTTGGCTGGATAAATGGTTGCTCTGATGCAGGGAGGGGGCAAAGCAAGCCAAGATGAAGGGGGTTTTGGTGTTCAAACAGCTGCAGTGAGCGTTGGGAGTCCAAGCACTCCCTCCTCTCCTGCTCCTCCTCTGCGTGCGCGGGCTGAGGCTGCCAGTGGTGGTGGCACCGAACGGATGATGCAGGCACCAGCGGCAGCTTACGGGAGACCTGCGGGTCTGCTGGATCCAGGGCAAGGAGTCAGTAGTGTGTCCTTTGTGTTCTCAGCCTTATTCCTGTAAAGGTCTTTTCTTCTGAAGGCATGTCAACTGCTGATAAGCAAAGCTTTGAAGAATATCCCAAGTCTGGAAACCTGCTTTACCTTCCTGTGCCCCTTTGCCACGGCTCTCCCAGCCCTCCTGTGTAAGCCTGGGGAATGATGTCTTTGGTATTTTTTGCTTCAAGGCTGGTGTTTATTTCAGCTGCAGTAACGAGTGCTAAACTAGCTGGCAGGAGGAATAAATGTTGCTATGACAGCTTGGGTGGAGATTTGGAAAAGGCAGTTCAAGTTGCAAAATGAGTATAAGAAACATTAAGAAAAAAGCAAGCAAAAATACAAACCTAGAGCAAATGGACTCTGAAGGCCACCACGTTTCAACTAGGTCTGAAGCATTCACAGCTGTGTATTTGCTCCATAGCAGGGCAGCAAGAGCAGAAATAATTGAGCTTGGGATAAGCTGGGCTTTGCAGTGGGATCTCAAAAGCTCCCTGAGCTGGCCAAGTATTAAAGGCTGCTGCCCAGTCCTGAAGCTCTGTCCCTGGCCTTCCTATAGGGATCATTTGACTTTGGTGCTTGTAACAGCGACTTTCTTTTCCAGCTGTAAACCTCAAATGGCCAGACTCAGTTTGAAGCAACGGCTTCAAATGTGTTTCCTCTGGAGGAAGGAGGGAAAAGTGAGATGGAGTTCTGGCTCTGGGAGCTGTTGTTGGCCGTTTGGCTCTTGTAATGCCTCCTCTGAGGGTTTCCCATACTATGGTCTCTCCTGCCGTAAGCTTTGGTGCAGAAGAACCCACAGCTGAAGCGGCGCAGTAACATGTTGTGTTCCTCAGGTGCTGGAGCAAGATGTGGTTCTTCAATCTATTGACCGTGCCATTGAGGCTGTGCACAATGCGGCCATGAAGAATGGGGGAAAGTACAACCTGGAGCAGAGAGATGTCCTCCAGTAAGTACGACAAGTGTCTAGGAGAGCTGGCAGATGGAGGGTGGTCAGTGTGTGATGCTTGTGTCTTTTCTATTCTTGAGGGTCAAGCTGGACATTGTTGATTTGAGTCCCTGTGCTGCAAAGTGCTGATGCACTTAGAGAGCTTCCCAGTGTTTGAGCTGGTAGCAGATGGTGCTCCTCCTGTCAACTGCATCCAGCGAAGCAGTGCTTTGGCCTTGTCCTCCTACCCCTGTGCTTGTAAGGAAGAGGAGACTCTCAGCTGTATTGTAGGCTTGGAGAGGAGAAACCCAAAACCTTTCCAGATGCATTTTCTCCTCTCTACCAGCCAGGAATTGTAGAGGTTGTTGGCGTGTGGCACAAGGTCCTTAATACGTTCTCAAGTAATTGCTTGTGAGGAGAATTTTTGTTTTGCTCTGACACCTCACACTCTGCACTGAGGCACGCTGGTTTAATCTCAATTGAACAGCAATTTTAAAGTGCAGGCAATTTCTGAAGCTTGCAATGCAGTATGTAACTCTCCCCTGAGGAAGAGGCATTTTTCTCCAGCAAACTGATGAATAAATCATGGGCTCTTGTAAAGCCTCTTCCTTCCTCCCCCAGAAGTGCTTCCTTAGTTGTTAATGAAACTGGAGTTGGTGTTCAGAGTAATGTAGCCCATTCTGATATATATAGCCCAGATGCAATAAATAATTTAAAAATATCATTTGAATGTTGCAGGATGTCCCTTCCTTTAGCTTTGCTGTTCCTGATGTCATCATTCTGTTTCAGAAAACTGATCCATCACCGGAAGGAGACCGTGTCCCGCAAAGGTCACTCTCCCACCCCGCAGGGGATGGTTATGACGCAGTCCTCCAGCGATCACCATCTGGATGTGGCACGGCAACCCAATGGGGTGTGCCGGACAGGATACGAGCGACATCACAGTCTTCCAAACACGGAGTTCGAGGAGGAGGATGAAGGTCTCTATCAGGTAACAGTGGCTGGACACTTTCTAGGTTCCTTCTTTGGTGGTATGACATCACTCGTCCTGCCTTTGCAGCTGAAGTGACAAATCAAGTGTTTGTGCTGCTTGCTTGGGATTACTGCAAGGTAAATTGATACTGTCTCTGTGTAAGAAGTCTGGAACAGTCCCTCTGCCACTTACATGTGTGATACTTTTTGGGGTCTTTGAGGGTCCATGCTTTTATGGTGACATGCAAGATCTGCTCTATATTGTGTGACTGTCTCTTGACAACTTTCTAAAAGAGTTGCAAGCTCCTCAGAGAATACTTTGAAAAACAGTTTTGAAGTGAACAGCAAAGCTCCCTCCGAGTACCCAGCACTGCTTTGTTTCCGCCTTGTTAAATCTGCGCAAGATCTTTGGTCCTTAAGCATTTTATCTGTTGTGGCTGCCCATTTTTACTACTCAAAACATAAAAAACCCAAAGATCCTGCTTTGCCTGAATGTTGCTTGTCATGATGAATTAAAGGTAAATTGCAGGAAATAATGATTTAGAGCAGATTTTTTTTTTTATCTTGGCGGCACACAGTTCCAAGGTTACTGTGCAGCACCAGCGAGGCTTCAAAGAAGTAGCCCAGGATGGATGCAGCAGTTGTTGGGGATGAATGATGTGGCTGATTATGCTGTGCAGGTATGGCTGGATGTTACGGCTAAAGGCGCCAAGCAAGGATGAGCATAGAGATTTTTTTTTTTTCTTCTACAGATGAACCTGTGCACTGTATTTTTCTTCATCTATCTGGGATAAGGGTTTGGAGGTAGTGTTTATAAGGTACTGATACAGTGTCACTCTTAGCAGATGAGGCTTGTTTTACACTTGAAGAACTGTGAGTCTGCAGAGATAAAAGGTAGCTCTGGCTCATGCAGAACATGGCAATCCTTACAAACTCCATTTTTCTGATTGGTATTTGTTGTCTTTTCTGGGCAGCCAAACCAGCTCTGTTCAAGCCTGTGTCTTACAGGCTGAGAGGATGGAGCACCTTACAGCCCATTCTCCGCGCCGATTCCCCATCTTTATCTGGTCTGTGCTTTGGTTGCTTGCCAAAAAGGAGCAAGACAGATTCCTTGGCTGACAAAGAACAGTTTCTGTCTGGGTGGCACTGAGGATACAGTTGAAGGGCTTCCAGCTTTGCCCTGTGCTGAAAGGGCTTGAGGTTTTAACAACTCAGTCAAGGGATTTCCTGTATGCTTTGAAAATACAAAATGGAGGAAGTAGCATTGCTTTCTTCCACTGGTTATGCAGCTGCCTAAGACAAAACCTACCAAGATCTAAACTTTGTTACTAACTTGAGAGAAGCAGAGGTCTTGGAATGTGCTTTTCACTGCTTGGGATTTTTGGGTGCGTTCAATGTTTGCATCCCAGGGCTGAACTGGATGAAGTACTTGATGATGATACCCGTACTGAGCCTCTCTTCAGCTCCTCCATGGTTAGTGGGAGGTGGGAAGCTGGGGCAGTTACATACCAGCTGCCAAGCAACGAGGTTGGGCTCTCAGAGTATTTTAGTCAGCCCGCTGCATTTGTGAACGCTCAGTGGGTTTGTGATGCTTGTCTCCAGAAGTCTTTGCTGCAGACCAGCGTGTCTGGCTTGGCAGAGTTTGCCTAGAGGAGATGGTGGGCGTGGGATTATTGGTTTGTTTGGTTTGTTTTTTCTTGTTTAAAGGTTCCTACTATACTAGCATAATTCCCAGGCGTTAGAGTTGAAGGAGTGGTGGTGGTCTCTGCCTGCCCGGCTGGGAAGGAGATGGGAGTGTTGTGGTTGAGTCAGCTCTTGTCTCAAGCAGAGCCTCTGCTAGCAGTCCCTGCAAAATGCAAAAGGGGAGGAAGCATACTGTAAAATCTGTGGATATGGGGAAGTTCATAGTCCCCTTGCAGAGGCCTGGGGAAAAGGAGGCTTTCAACACATGTGTAGGTACTTCTCTCTGGACCCTTGATAAGGTCCTTCCTTTTCTCCCCTCTGGACAAGTGAGATCTGAACTGCAAGGACTCCCGCATGGTCACCTTCCACATAACAGCTGGACAGAGGATGTTTTCTCCTCTTTCCTTCTGTTCCCTTGGTGCTTCGATGTTGTACATCCTCCTCTTGGTCTTGGCCTCACGCAGTGGCTGGGACATGGGGTGGAGGGAGGGGATGGCCATCGGTTACCCCTCGCAACTTGCTGACTAGGTGGCAGCTCACAACTCAGGCGGGCACCAGCATGGGGAAATTCATCTGATGCTTCACTTCTAAGTGAGGCTGGCAGAGCTCTGAGCTAACATTAGCTGTACATCTATTAATTTAAGCACTAGTCTGTAATAGCTGTGTTAAAATTGCATGGTAAATTTGGAAGGGCTAATGAAGCCATGGAAATATTCCAGAATGACCCAGCCCTAGCTGACTCCAAATAATGTCACGCTGCTGCTCTAAGCTCTGAACCTGCCTGTCTGCTGAGTCCCGCTGCTTTGGTAATCGTGGCTGTGCCATGCCAAGCAGCTCCGACTCATGCGGTTAGCTGCGCTGCTGTGCAGAGAGGGTTCTGCTTTTAGCACAGCTGAGCTTTCCAGATTTGGGACCAGCCTTCCAGCCACATGATGCAGAGACCCCTCTTGATCTGTTTGGCCTCTCTCAGCTGTGCAGTCTCTTTTTGGACCGACACAGATAATTTTTGAAGCTGTATGCAAGTATCGTATAGCGTTTTACCCAGCGGACAATGTGGGGTGGATTGACACGAACAGAAGAGCTCAGGCTGGGAATCTGCCCCAGTATCTCATACTAATCTGCCAACTAAAGGCACTTGTAAAGAAGTGAGTTGTTATGTGACATAGTAAAAGGTTGGATATATCAAGTGTTGGGTGGGAGAAAGGGACCAACAGATCCCTTTTTAAAAGTCTTTGTAAGCTGTGCAAACTGCTGTGGCTTCACGTGTCTGGTGGGCTCCAGACATGGGCTGTGAGCACCGTATTGTCAGCTTTTGGCATCGAGGGTTGAACATTTGAGATGGCTCCTGAAGGTGTCTTATTTCCAGGAATATCTTTGCTCTCATTTTAGAGGAGGTTTCTACCCTTCCTGGATCCAGAGAGGAGAAAAAAAGTAGAATTTTGCATTCTCCTTGTTCTGAGCTATTTAAGATAGAGACCTTTCAGGCGCCTGTCTCAGTTTTTCACTGCAGGGCCTGGCATTGCTCTGTGCCCTGTGTGGCCTTTATAGGGCTATTCAGCACTGACAGGTCACAGAAAAGCTTCTCTTCCAGGGCTAAAGAAACTTGGGAAATTGCCACCATGTGATGGTCTGAGTGTCACTATGGTAGGTAGATTCCAGCAGGATTCAAACTGGGCTACCTGAGACATTCAGGCCATCTCTTCCTTCCCTTTCCTTCCCGAGCTGCCCTGGGTGGTTTTCCTGCAGACAACAATTGCAATATCCCATAAAAACGGAGGCATGTTTCAGGCAGCAGGCTCTGAGTCACAGAAGTCTTAAGAGACTCCAAACTGAGTCTTCTGGCCCTGAGCTGCTGGGATGTGAGGATTAGAATATTGATGCCATGTGCTCCCACCTAGCTTGGCCGCTGTGTTCTGTGGTGTCCTACTGATCAGAGGTTAACCCTGAGGTTATACCTCACTGGAGTAATTCTGGGTGAAAGTGATGTCGGTGATCATGGTGTTTGTATCTGACAGCAAAAGATGAGTGTAGGAATCTGGATCTGGGACTTGGCATTCCTAGCAGAGGATACTTGCAGGAGAAACCCCAGATGCAAAGAGTTAATGTAACTCCCTGGCAAAAACTTTTCCCAACGGGTCTTGCTATAGGTAATGTAGGATTGCACAGAGGGTCTAGCCCTGTTTTCTCCCTGCGTGAGCAGAAATAGCTCTGAAAGCATGGAAAAGGCATTTACATGTCTCCAGTCCTTGGCTTTGTCTTTCTGCAAGGGTATTTGTAGCTGATGTAATAGATCTCTCCAGAAGAGCGTCTAAATACGCGCTCTGTTTGCAGCCTCTGTGGAGCTATTGAGAGTAATGTGGAGTCACAGTGTGTGTGGGGGATTGCATTTGAAATAAAGGAGGAGTAAATGCTTGACAGGTCTACACGATGTGTGTGCTATGTGCTGCTGAACACAGCAATTAAACAAGGGCTGCTTTGCCTGTCACAGGGAGGGGATGAAGCAGGCTTGAGTGCTGCTTTGTTCTTCTAGGAAACTGCCTATTAATATCTGTCCTCCTGAGAAAACTTCCACGAATGATGAGAGAGATGTAAGGACAAATCTACACATGCACATGAGAAAGAAGGTTTCATAATGGAGAATGTCTTTATTGTCAACCTCCTTTGATTGCTCTGAAATCTTTCCTTATAGATCCCACCACAGCCCCGGCGTGCTGCTCCTATCACCCCCCCACCTCCAGAGAAACGCAAGAACGTGCAGATTGCTGCTCCTGTTAAAAGTAAGGACAAACTGCTTTCCAGATCTCAGGCACAACATGGACACTGGGTGATACAACAGTCATGGTGCTCAGATGTTTCTGCTTTGTGCTTAGAAGAGCATCTTTATATATATCCTAAATTCCTATAAGTTTTGTATCCTTATAAATATATATAATCTCCTAAATTCCTGTAGATTTTATATCCTTTTGTATCTTTTATCTATAAATATATATATATCCTAAATTCCTACAGGTTCTAATGCTAGCAATCATGAGCTGGTGACCAGTGCTCCTCCACCTGATCTGGGAGGGCCTGGGCAGCCTGGCATCTGTGGATGGGTGCCAGGTTTGGCATCTTCCTGGTCCTCTGGTGCCAGTGGCCCTGGGAAATGGGATGCTCTCCAAGGATCAAACTTTCTGCCTGCTCATGTGGCTAATCTGGCCAGCACATGACCTTGGTGATTTAAGATCCTTGTGGGTCTGTGGGTCCTTACACTCACAGACCCCATGGCCATCTCCCAGCGAGGCAGAAGGAGTTTTCCCTGGCAGTGCAGAGTGCAGTAGTTCACTGGTAGCGCTTTTAGCACAGGCCCAAGTCTGCTTTTGGCTCCCAGTCTGTTGGGCGCTTTCTTTGTACAGTGCTTGGATGACAATTCCATCAAATTGGTGTCTGGTGTCTGTAAGGAGCAGAAATAATACCAGTGGCACTGCCGTGTATATGCTGCCCACAGGCAGGGGAGCTTCTGGTTGCAAGCACTTCAGGGCAGAGCAGGACCATGGGGCCAAGGCAGGAGCTTCTCCACCTTCAGCATGGTTGGGCTGGCAGAGGCAGTGGTCATCCTGATGAGTTGCTGTCAACTTGCCCAAGTGCTCTCCTGTGCTGTGATGGTCACACCATTAGTGACACAGCCCATTTCAAGCCCACTCATGCCCCCTTGTGAGGAGCAGGGCAGAGCTGTTGACTTGCAGGTAATTAACTGAAACTTGGGGCTAGCAACAGCTTATGTAATGGTACTTAATGGTATTGAGCCATTTTTCACTGTGGTAGTGGGAATGCGCAAAGGTCAGTTTCCTTCAACTCATTATCTTGATTTAATGAAGCGTGGTGGCAGCTATGATTCATGAATGCTCCTCTGTGAGGAGGGAAAAAGAAGGACGCTCCCCTGTGGAAGGGCCCTGTTTTTCTGTCTAGCTTGTGCTTGCCTTGGGATGGAGTGATGGATGGAGTAGTGGAGGGCTCTCAGGACCAATGGGGCAGGAAGGGTTGGAGTTGCCTGCAGAGGTGCAGCAAAGGTGTTTCACATGTCTGTCCTACTGGTCCTTCCTTTGGTGTGGGGTAAACTGCCTTCCCTGAGCGCTGGGCTCCCCGTGAGGTGTGCTCCTCTTCCAGCATCAACATCAGCTGCTCTCATGAAGCTCTAGATGAAGGTAGCCCAGTGTTTGCCCAAGTAACTGTTTTCATAATCAGGGAAGGACTTGGATACATTTCTGCCCCTAGAAATGAATGGATAAGGTTTACCAAAAATATGTATTGGAACAGGTTAAAGGAAAGAAAAATCTTAACATCTCTTTGCTTGTAGTGGATTTTTTCCCTTGGAAGGTGGGACAGCTACTGCTGCTAGAGCTAGTCAAAACTAGAGGCACAGGGAGAAATACAGCAGAGCAGATGATGTGGAGGCTTGTGAAAGCAGTATATGCTAGCAGGGCTCGTGATAAAATGTTGGAGAGTGCTGAAAGGGAAAGATTAGAGGTGTTGTCAGCCAAATATTTCCTTAACCATGGTGTGCAGTCAGTGAGGTTCGTGCAAGAGGGAGGTGCAGGCTGGCATGTGAAGCCTTCGATGTCTTGCAATTCTTGGGCACCATCATTCAGAAGTGAGAGCCTAGATCCTGAGCGCAGAAAAAGGCGCTCTTTAAACCAGGGGGAAAAGACTTTTCTGTCCCTCAATCCTGTCCCTCCCTCCCTCTCTTCCAGTGCATAAAACACTAAGCCCTTTGAAGGGTATTCATCTCAATAGAGTAGTTTTCCCCTTTCTAAAGGGGTGATTGTGTGGGAATGCTCCAGAGAGAACTGGTACAATTTTGCTTTGAGATAAGTGAGGCAGGAAGAGGAGTTAAACTGCTTTGGTCGCATGCACAATGAGTCTTTTAATGGACTGCGCTGTAGCATTTGGGTTTTTTTCTTTTTTTCCTTTGATGCTGTTGCTAAGGTATTTTTAATTGTTCCCTTTCAGACGCTGTTGAAATTATCCCTGGGTCAGCTTCTAGTGCCTCCTCTATAAGCACAACATCCCTGGATACCTTGTACACCACTTCTTCTGTGTCAGAGACCGCTCCCCCAACAGCCACCTTGCCCCCTCCAGTCCTGCCAACCCCCCACCCCCCGTCCCAAGCCGGAGCGTCCACACCACAATAACGCGTAATTTGGATGCCGGCTCTGTGGCCCACTCCCGCTATGGGACTTCCCCAAAGGATGGGGCCAGCAAATCTCCCCAGACCAAGAGGGCTGCCCCGGCACCGCCAGCTGAAGGGGGGACCCAGAGGTCGCACACTGTGGATGGGGAGAAGACTTCTCAGGTGAAGAAAGCTGCCCCGCTGCCCCCCACAAGCCTGGATGCCTTCAACTCCCTCTGCTTGGAGGATAAGGTGGCGGCTGCGGTGGAGCCAGTGCCAGCAGAACCCAGTGGTCTGGCAGTGTCCGTGCCCAAGACGATAGGTGCCGAACTGATTGAGCTGGTGCGCAGGAACACCCACCTCAGCTATGAGCTGTCCCGCGTGGCCATCGGCGTGGTCATCGGCCACATCCAGACCTCCATCCCAGCAACCAGCAGCATCATGGAGCAGATTCTCATCTCCGTGGTGGAGAGTAAGGTAACACATGTGGGGTGGGACTGGGCTGGGGGGCTGCTGCAGACCACCTCCTAACATCGGGCAGATGGTGTTATAATGTTTGGGATGAGAAGTGCAGTGAGATCCCGAAAGAAAGGAGAGGTGCTAGGTGGGGTAGATGTCTAGCTGAAGGAACCAGGGGTTTAAACGAGGTCTGAGTACTGGTAGCAGGGAATTGGAAAACAGATGAGTTTATTCCCCAGATGAGCTGCAGATGTGTGGCATAACCTTGAGTTTGGAGCTGAGGGCGAGAGGTGAAACCAGCTGAGAGGGCCCTTGGTGCTGAGACGCACTGGTAGCCTGTGGCGGAGGGGCGAGTGTCTCTGGTGAGATTGCGGTTTGGGGAGAGCGTGGAGAGATGGATGGCAGTGAACTGAACCACATGAGCACATCAGGTGGGAGGTCACAGCCTTCCAGGTCCCAGGCACAGCGCAGCGGTGGGAATGGATGCAGCAGGACTTGAAGGCACACTGAGAAAGCTCTGACATGAGTTGTTGACCACTGATTGTGAAGGCTCACGGGGAACCATTGTGGCAGCATAGAACTGGAGCAAGAAATGAACAGTGACTTTTTAAAGAGGTATTTTGTGTTATGAATGCGACAAATAGAAGCTGAGGAAAATGGAGTCTTTGCAATAAGTGCTTCTTTATGGAAACCTTTTATAAAATAATGCATTGTATAGACTTGTTTTCTTCTATGGTTCTGCACGTCCTGTGTGTAGATTCAGCATGCCTTTGCATACTACAAATCTGCTTGGATTCTTGTCTCTTTTGATGACGGAGCACCGAAAGCGTCTATATGTCTGGCTTCTATACCATCTTTCATCAACGCAATGAAAACTAGTTTTCTGTAGATACAAACCTCTCTATTACTCTATAACACGTGCTTCAGCTCTGCTTTTTTTAAGAAGCCACAGAAGAGTAGTTTTTCAGCCACTGGAGGAGAAGCATTATCTTGAGCTTGTTCTAAATAAACTATATGCCAAAATGATCATATATTACTCTTTCCTCTGCTGCAGACACACAAGAAAGGAAATAAAAGGATGCTTGCGTGCAGCAGTCACTGAAATAGTGAAGTGCACCTGGGCAGCCCTCTGCTTTAGTTGAAGGGATAATAAATTTCAGCTCCCACTTGCTAAATACAGCCCTGAGGAGTACATTTCATATAAACATCTAAGACTGGAGCTCCATTGCTAATGGCAACATTATAATGAACTGTTCAGAGGCATTTGAATATGGAAGACTAATGGCATTCAAATTTTAGATCAAATTGTAATCTGGTTAACTGTCTGCGCTGAATAGAGGGTCCTATAAGCAATCATCGAGTCTCAGTTTGTGGCCATAACCCAACGGTTAATTGCTTCCTACTTCAGTAACAATACCGTGTCAATGTGTGATCTAGATTCAGCAAAAAATTCAGCTGTTTCAAGCAATGTTCTGGCTCTGACTTGCATGCCAAGAAGTTCAGTTTTCTGTTATTTGGACCTTGGACAAGATTTGAATATTACTTCTATTTGTAATACCTGTTCTCGGGATACAATAAGCTTAATTCCACAGAGGTCGTTTAGTGCCAAGTTTCTGCAGAGTGAATTTGAAAACCTCAATTTCATGGCCATTGCTGCAGACCAGCCTGAAAAAATGGGAAGAAATTCTGATGCTGGTGCAGGGGCAACTATGGATCTACCTGTAACTGATACGGTATCTATCATCTAGGACATCTGTGGGACTTAAAAATGCCTTGTACTGTATGGAGACAGAAGAAGGTTCTGTCCCATCTCATCTTACCTATCTTGAGCGGTACTGCTTTCAGAAGGAGTGCCTGAGTGGGCTTGCACAGTGCTCAGGTATAAATGTCGTGGTTGTAGTGTGTGTTTTTCCTGAATGTCCCATGCAGAAGATGTAGCTCTGCTGATACTAAGTGCCTGGTCCCAGATGAGGTTGTTCACCTGGTGTAGAAGACCAACTCTAAATGATAAAAGGGCAGTCACATTTAGTTGTGGGGTGGCTGTACTGCTGTAGGTTCGCTAGTGTAGTTTAATGGTACAAATGATTATCGTTGACTTTGTGTTGTTCATTATACCAAATAGTTCCATGATCTCGGGGGTTTTTGTGTAGAATTGTTGCTGAGTCATCAGTTGTAGGTCAAGAGCTTTTTCTTTAGTTTGAAAATCCTCTACACCCCAATCCATGCAAATATGTGGTCAGTTCTTATTTTGCATATTTTTCAAAGTTTTTCTTCCACCCCCTAAAACAGAGCAAGACATCAGCTTTGATTTAAAGCTTTGGTCTGCTCATAGTAGATCTCATACCTGCTTCAACCTTTTGTATCATGTTCTTTAATTAGTTATATCCTTTCTATTCCTATTCCAGTCTTAATCTGAAGTCAGATCACTGCTTTACAAAATCAATTCCAGAATCCATTACCTCGCTTCTATCCCCAGTGCCTTCTGAAGGTTGAATTGTGGTGGCCTTTCCCTCTTATTTACCTTGCTGCTCCTCTAGTGTGTGGTCTGCCCAGACACGTGTTTTCAAGAGAATAAAAGACCCGTCTGCTGGGACAGCATATTGCTCCTGCTTTTAGGGAGGTTACATAAGGCTACACTGGGTGAACAGCATAGACAAGGAGGGTGCAGAGGTGCTCATGCCTTAAGAAAGATGCTTTCAGAGGTACCATGCTACTTGGGGAAGCCTGATCTGCGGCAGCAAACGTGCTGAGTTGGCTTCCCTGTGTCAGGATTTGGCCTGGCCTTGGAAATGGCCTCTCTTGTCCTTGAGCCAGTTCCTGATGAGTGGCATGGTGACTGGGCAAGATGCGCAAAGGGAAATTAAACCTCTTTTTGGAGGCGTTGCTGCAGTGACCATCTAAACCAGAGCTAGCTTTCATAGGAACTCGTTTGAAATTTGGACGTAATTAAAGATAATATAGATGCTGCCTGATTTTTCAAGCATCTAGAGGATCACCCGGATTAGTATGTGTTGGTGTGATACGTGATTGCCTTCAGCTCTGCTGAATTATCTCCCATCTGAGAGGAGGTGGTAGCATCATAGATGTCCCGTCTAGGGAGGTTCACTTGAGGATTTATTAAACTGAGTGTGAGGCAAGCAAAATTGCCTAATACACAAGCTAGCTACACCTGGAGAGGGAGCAGTTAGAAATCGCTTATCTGGTTTTTATTAAATTAGCATTGCTGTCTTGCATTTGTGACTTGGACCCATCTCTGGTTGCCTTAAATTTAAGCTTGGAAACTGCTGAAAAAGGTGTGTAATTCAGTTCGGTTTTGTAGGTCACCCCAGGCTGCTGTGTGGGCTCAAATGGTTCTTGGATGTGTCGGAGATGGAGGAATAATTTAGGAAGTTGGTGTGGCAAGTCCTTTGCTCACTGCTAGAGGAGCCTTTATGAAGGTCTGTGCCAGAGTCTTCACACGCAGCCGTCTCACTTCAGCTGTAGATGGGTGTTGTGGTTTAGCCCCAGCCAGGGGCTAATCGACACTATTCTCATACTAAATCCAAAACACAGCACTATAGCAGCTATTAGGAAGAAAATTAACTCTGTCTCAGCTGAAACTAGGACAATGGGCAACACTCATCCAGAGAGAGCTGCTGCTGAGTATGTCTGTGAAGCAAAGGCGCATTGGGCTGCAGATGGCCGGACACCTGAAAAGCAAAGGCTGCAGAGACCTGACTGAGGCGAGGCTCACGTGGTGGTTGGAAGCCAAGTGCTCCTCTCTCCCTGTGACAGCCCACGCGTCTGTGCGCAGAGGCGTTCCCTCCAGCAGAGCTGGCCTGCCCCGCCACAGAGCCGCGTCCCTGGGGTGCCCAGCTGGGAGCAGACCTGCTGCTGCCAAAAGAGTGCCTGTGAAAGGCCTGCCCTGGAGAACTTGGCTGAGCTGAAGTCAGGCGTCTGTCTTGCACCGTGTTTCATCTGGTTTAGTGGCTTCCGAGGAGCCTGTCAGTCTGCATGTGTCGAGAGCAGTGTTTGCCGCCTGGTTTTGATAAATGTTGCTGTAGTGGGAACAGTTTGCTGCCCAGACGAGGGGGGAATTCCCAGAGCAGTCCGCTGAAATGTGTGTTAAAAGTGCTATGTGGTTTACCCGAGGCAGATCTCGGGCTCATCTGGAGGGAAACTGCTGGTAGGTGTGTGTAGCCATGGCAGTGGTGATCCACCACGCTTGCTGACATGGTGGTGGGAAGGGAGGCATGGGAGGAAGAGCTTGGCAGGATGGCATGTGGGTTTTCATGGCAGACGTGACCACCCCCAGCGGTGTCGGTGTGATGAGGTTCCCAAAATGGTTTTGGGCTGCTCAGGAGGAACAAAATCCCTGGAACAGTTTGTTCTGCTGGGCTGGGAGAAGGGAGCTATTTGAAACAGCAAGATAATGCAAAATGGCATTGTTACAAATACCAAAACCACCTTCTGCTTATGGGCTCTCCGGCAGCTTCCTGGAAACAACCATATGACGAGGCTGCAGGTTGAAGTAGCTGCCAAGATGTTTAATAAGCAGAGACCTGACCCTGGTGGTGGGAGGGCTGAGAATGATGCTGAGAGTGCATTGAGGTGATGTGTGGTGTAGTTACACCGGTCGGATTGAAGAGCTTGTTAATGGATTGACCTCATCCAAGTCCATTAGGACCTTGATGCTTGGTGGAGTCATAAGGGCTGCAGATGAAGGACTGGAAGGATCAAAGAAGATTAGTGATAAGAGGCTGAATAGAGCAATCATTAAAACAAGTACTCATTAAAATGCTCATCTAAAAAGATGTCCCAGCAGTGGACTGAGGTAGGACCAGCCCTGCATTGCTCCGGCGAGAAGGATGTGAGTCAGGTACATAAATGGAGAACCCTCTCACAAGCAGCTGGGATGCACGAGGATGGGCAGGTGACACCAGTGTTTCAGGTCCTTTGAAAAAAGAGCAGGAGATGGCAAGACCAAGCAAGTCTCTTAACTAACACATTTGCTTCTGTGATAAATCACCATTCAGTGGGAGATTCTCTTGCATTTGTGCTCAGCTCCTGAAAGCTGCCGTCCTCTCTCACAGCTGGTTACCTGGTTTTCTGCTAGGCCATCCACGGCTTCCCAAAATTTTAAGTGTACAGAATCTTCTGTTAAACCAGCATGCTCCTTCCTTCATTACCTGCCTGATAAAAATTATGTAATGATCAGCGACAAGAACACTTTTTTATTATATAATTGAAGCACTGAATTGAAATCCTAATTAGTTCACACCCCAAATACCTTGAAGCAAATTACTAACAATTCTGTCTCTAATAAAGCAGATGAGATGTTACTGTTAAACCTGTAGTGGTTTTCCCAGAAAGGGCTGGATGGTTGAAGGTGTGCAGGAAGGGTACAGCCAGCCTGTTAGAAGGAGCTGTGCCAGGACAGGACAGGACTTCTCCAGGTTTCCAAAAGACACTGTGCAATAGCAGGGTGTCCTGGCTGGTAGTGGTAAAGGCCTTTTCACACTGAATGATTGGGACTTGTCACTGCATGCTGCAAGACAGCTTCATCCAAAAATTAAGGGCTTGGTCTCAGTGGGGGGGGTTTCCCTGTTTGAATTTCTCAGCTCCATTCTCTTTCACCTTCCTGATCTCCTGCTGCTTGTTGTCACTGCTGCCAAACCCTTGTGTATATAACTTAAGTTTTTTTGCAAATTAGTCCTTACCTCTCTTAGTGGTGCCTGGGCTCATCACCTGTAATCAGTCCGTTTCCATGTGCTGGTCCCCCCTTCTTGCCCCGCTTTCCTGGAAGCAGGTAGTTCATATGATATATTTAGGTTCTAGAGGGTTATCCTAAATATCAAGCCACAGCATCTGTTGGGGCAGGTTAACTGCTGCCTGACTGCTCCCCTCTCTCGAAGGAGAGGAAAAGTGTAGGAAAGACAACTGAGGAGTGAAGCCTTCATGGCAAGGGTTATGTATGAGGTGGTGGGGATGCAGATGACAGCAATCTGAGAAAGGACTATGTACAGTAAGATTTGCTGAGTTAATTTGCATCATAGCTATGAGCTTCAGAGCTGCTGTGAACGGTGGTTGAGCTCTGCTGTGTGGAAGAAAGCAGCACCAAAGCAGCCCAAGATGAATTGGTTCCTGTCCTTGCTGCAGAAGATGACAGCTCTGGTATTGAGCAGATGGCATGTAGAGTACCATGGAAGTGTTTGCTCCTGAGTCAAGGATTAAAGGGAGATCTGTTCCTTTCAGGCTGGAGGGAAGGGACTGTCAAGGGAACTTCTCCTTCTGGAGGCAGTTATGCAGTGTGGTGGTTTTGTGTCCCAGGACACATCTGTTTTACTGGGGGTGAGCCTGAAGCTGAGTTCAGCTGCCGCATGGCAGCGGTCCTGGCCCATGCAGGGTTTGGCTTTCCCCATTCTTAGGATTTTCCAAGTCTACAGTGTGTCCTTTGAAGAACTTCTGAAAACCTGCCTGATGCCTGTACCCAGAAGGAAACCAGTGTTTTACTTGTTTTGTGGAGAGGTAATAGAGTTCATTGTGGGTTCACTGAGGTTGGGTTGCCTCATGCTCTGGGCACACTGGACTGCTTTTGTGAAAGATGTGGCATGTTTGGCTGCCCCGTGGGAAGGGCGAATGATGGTTTAGCTGGCACTGAGCATAGTACACTGGCCAGGCATTTTAGGTTTTCCTTTAAGTGTGTTGAAATGTGCAGAGGGCTGTGGTCATCTGAGCTGGCTTCTTGCCTTAAGTTGTTCTCTTCCGGGAAATGGGCATTCCCCTTACCGCAGCGTTTCCCGCCCAGGGCAGGCAGGCAGGCAGCCCGTGGTGTTCTGCAAACACCCTCTGGTTTGCTGCAAAGGGAAGTGGGGAAGTTTGTGGTGTGCGTGTGTGCTAAGAGGTTACAATTACGTGATCTAGGAGAGACTCGGGTACAGATTCCCACGGCTTCAGGAATGTTGGTTTGCCTGGATCAGCCTTAGGTTACTAAAAGCAGTAAGAAAAAAGGGGTGTAGCTTTGAGGTTTCTTGGGTTCTTCAACATCCTCAGAAGACAGCTCATGCTCCAGCAGGGTGGTGGCAGCTTGAATTTAAAGACTTTTGGACCATGCACTGGTTCTGGCACCTATTTTGATTCATTCACTGCATTAGCTGTGCAAGGAAAGGAGGCAGGTAGAGGCCCCAAAAGTATGAGAGCTGAAATAACATGTATCTTAAACTTGCTGTCTTTTTGCTGCCAGCTCTTGACTGAATGAGGTCAAGTGCCAGTCCCACGACAAAAATTAGAGGAAACAGGCACCCAAACAACAGCTAGCTGTCAGGACCCCACTTACCAGTGGTTTTGCTATCGTGCAGAATCTAAGTGCGGGGCTGCCCTCAGGACAGATCTGCCATGACGAGCAGCGGCTGGAGGTGATCTTTGCAGATCTGGCCAGGCACAAGGACGATGCTCAGCAGCGCAGCTGGGCACTCTATGAGGATGAGAATGTCATCTGCTGCTACTTGGAGGAGCTGCTTCGCATCCTGGTGAGTAAATTTCTTTATAGGCAGAGCAGACAGTACCAGTAAAGTTCCTTTTTTCTGACCTCCTTCGCCCCTTGCATTGCCATCGGATCTGCTGTTTCGGAGGGCATAGGTTTCTTGTGCACCCCTTACCATCAATGTGAAGCCCTGCCCTCCTGTGTGGGGTCTGCAGTGCTCTTGAACTGCCTTCCCCTCCACCTTACAAACCTGTTCTGAAAAGAGTTATAGAACAGTTGTTCATGGTAACTGTGGTATTTAGCTATCACAGGAGAATATAAAACCTCACCTCCAAACCTAAAAACTGTCATCCTGCAGCTAACCTAGAAGTTTGCCGTGAATGTTGTTGCATTCCTAGGCCCATATAAAATGTCTTCCATTTAAAACATCCTCTGTGGCTGGGAAGTACCTGCGGGGTGAGGCCCATTAAATGTGAAAAAAAAACCTCTCTGGTTGCCTTGAAAGACAGCTTCAAAGCTGTTTTTGTGAGCAAGTGTAAAATATCTTGGCACATCTGTGGATACAGGAGAGGTACCTCCCCATAGTGAGCAGCGATGGGAAAGACTGTCCCAATGCTGTCACTAGCACATACCATCCCATACGTGTACAGGGAGTGTGATGGTATGGGAGCTGCCACTCAGCACGGTGACACTGTTACGAGTTACGAGTGCTGGTGTGGGGTTTGCTCTGGCACTCATTTCATATTTCTCTCCAGCTCTGACATAAGCAGAACAGATATTTTTTTGTGTACTAAATGCCAGTGTCTTTGTCACTCCACATATGGCCTGTCACCTTGCTGTGGGCCTGCACGACAAGAGGGGGATTTCGTGCAACCATTTCCTCATAGTTTAGGGGTGGGAGGTGTACAATACTTGTCAGGGTGGGAATGGTACTGGAGCTGCTGTGTGCACTGCATGATGCACTCATCAAGCTGCTGCTCAGGTCATGGGTGTTTTAGGTATTTTCAGCCCAAGACATGCAGTATGGCAGAGTGTTTCTCAAAAATTCACTTTGATGCAGAATCCGCAGGGTAGCGGTGCTTGAGCTCTCTTTGTGCTCTGCCTTGCGTTTCTATGTGAGATGGTTGGGCTGGGGCTACTGAGATCTGAAAGCAGCTGGCCTCCCTCGAGGTCCCTGCAGGAGGCATCTTGCCGCTTTGTGGGCTGACCTGTTTATTCCTGCTTCCAGACAGATGCAGACCCAGAAGTTTGCAAGAAGATGTGTAAGAAGAATGAGTTTGAATCAGTCCTGTCCCTTGTGGCATATTATCAGATGGTAAGGTGGCAGAATGCAGCAAATCTCTCTACTTTTTGAGGTTTCCCTGAAGGTGTAAAAGAGCGGGCTTGCTATGATGAATATATGTAAGAGGTTCCTGCTGGATAGGGCAGTTCTGTGAACTAGATGGAGTTGCAGCACATCCCTTTTGCATGCTGGCTAATGTCAATGGTATGCGTGCAAGCTGTGTGGAGGAGCAGAGGATGCTATAGACTTCGAAGTGATAGCGAGCACTGTGAAGGGTAAGGCTTGCTGCTTTTATTAGCTCCATTGAGGGATGGAATCGGTGTCGCTAGTGTCTAGAGGAAGGATTTCCAAGGATGCCTTGGGAAAGCTGGCAGGCTGTGACTGCTCCTCTTTTAATTGATGCACTCCTGTGCATTAGTAAATAGCTTTGCTCAGGAAAGTAGGTTGTGAATAGAAGCACTGGGAGTGAAGAAGGAAATCAGTATTCAGAGGAAGAAATGGAAGTTTTGCCTTCAATGCCTATGCAGTGTTGCTTTGCCCCTCTCCTTCCTGGAACCTGCTGCTCTAGGACTCTGTGGGGAGTTGGAAACTTGTCCCTAAGTACCCAGCTACAGCACATCAAGCCTTGTGGCATTTAGCTTTCATCTGGTACTTGTGTGTCTGAACCCAGAGCTCAGCATTGGGGTGCTATAGCATATCTGAGAGCAGTGGGAAGGGAGGCTTAATGGAGCCTGCTGGTTTTCACTGCCTGCTCTTCTCTGACCAGCATTTCAAGGAAGCCTGGCCAGGTAGAAAGCTGTTGGGTCTCCTGTCCAGGCTGGTCATGCCCAGTGCCAGGCCTTGGCTTAATCCTGCTCTCTGAACCCTGGGGTTGTTGGCTGACGCTGGAGTATGAAGGTTACCCCAAGCACTAGAGCTCCTGCAGGGGAGCAGCAGGTTGAGCATTGTCTTTGTGGAATCCCTGCATGTCCCAGAACTTTCTGGTTGTACCCTCTGGTCCCAGCACAAACCCTGACAACTTCACAATGGAAGAGCTGGTCCCATCCTGTTCATTATCCATCACATGCCAAAGAGGGTTTGCAAATACTGTGTTGTCAGGCAACAACCTTCAGAGCAGTGTTTGTAAAAGCTCAGTGTGCTCAGAGAATCCTGGCTACCCAGAAAATTAAATCTCTGTTTGCTGGGGATTGGTATAGATTGTTGGTTTGTATCATTTTTACTGCTGGGTGAAGAACTGGCTGGATGGCCGAG